GGTTCAAACTTGTGATCCTCTTGCCTCAGCCTTCCAGACTGCTGGGATTATATGCATGTCCTGCCACACCCAACTTTTCATTTAAGTTTTAAACACATCCTTCAGTGCCAAACAGCTGGAGGGACTCAGGATAAAAATTTGTACCAAGTCCCCAAAGCAAGGCTTTCCTGTTCACATCAGTTCAAGACAACACCAAACACAGAAAGAAGACAAACCAAGGTAGAGAGGTTCTGTGCTTTAAGTATCAGTCTCACCAATACATGCATGAAATCAGCATTTTAGTAGGAACCTTTCCAGAACAGTTCGCTCACAGATTTCGGACAGGTGTCCTTAATTATCCCCATGCTGTTTCTAAGACAATGAGAAAAATCCCAGCTGAGAGTTTACTTTTTGAGACTGAATCTCACTAAGTGGCACTGGCCTGGCTTCAATTTACAATCCTCCTGCCTCAGTCTCCCAGAGCACTCGGATCACAAGGATGCACCACTGTGCCCTGCTACACATACTGATATTCCTGGTTTAACAACCAAGCTGTGCTCCTTCAGCCAGGCTGCCAGCTGAACTAACTGAGGAACTGTTATGTACAGTAATATATACAAGATTCAGAACAAATGGTCCAAGGAAACTCCAGCTTGATGACTTTATCTCCGTAACTCTTACGTGCTGCACCGTAATGTATAACACAACATAAAACTACAGTAGTATACTCTACTGTACAATCAGCAAAAATTACAGTCCTTGTATAAACAGGGGGAACTGTACAAAAAGACATTGAGGCTGAAGATATACAGAACTGCACAAAATAAATAATAAAAACACAGGTCATAAGTCCAAGAGCCACACCTCAGTCGTACAGTTGTTCAACAGATAGGTCATTAAATGGGGAACATGTGTACAGGTTTAAACTTGTTACAGCACTTTTGACAACACGCAACAGGCCTGAGTGTGTACTACTGTTTAGGGGATGGCACAGCAGTGAATGACTCAGACCAAAACCCTCTCCTCGAGGACTTTACCCACTGTTGGGACAAAAGACAAAACAAGAAACAAAGTAAGGGGGCTGGGGAGATGGCTCAGCAGAATAAGCGCTTGCCTGGCAAGCGCAAGGGTCTGAGTTCAATCCCCGGTTCCGCAAAAAAAAAAAAAAGAAACAAAGCAAGGCCGATGCAACGTGGTCAGCACCATGCTGAAGAGTAAAGCATGGTAAGGCCACTGGGAAATGAAGGAGGAGGCAAGGTCAGCGAGGCCTGAGGGGAGAAAGGAACCAAGCTGCCAGAGGCGCAGAGCCAAGACTCGGGTACAAGGTATGCGCTTTTCTAGGAAAGGCAACGCCAGCACGGCTGAGCTCGCATGAACAAAGCCACAGGGAATGCCACAGTGGGTAAGAAAGTGACTGTCAGCTCCTCTGAAGCACCCTACAGGCCTTGCACAAATCCGAAAGACACGACACAGATTTACAACCCATTCATTTTGCCAGGTTACAACTTTTCATCCACAGTCATCATAGACCTTTACACAAGTACAGCTATTCCTTATCTCACAACCTGTTTAACTACATTTAGTTATGACCAAGGGGCACAGTGCGGCCCAACCCACTGCTCAGTCTTACCAGCCATCTTGTTTCCACAGTACTGTACAACTTATTGATAGGGCTTCAGTGTCTTTTGGTACAGTGCACCCTGTCTGTATAAGACTGTTAATTTTTGCTGACTATACTATATACTACTGTAGTTTTATGTTGTTATACATTCACAGTACTATAAGTAAGAGTTATGCAAATAAGTCATCAAGGTGGAGATTCCTTTGACCCTTTCTTTGTTCTAAATACTGTAACATACACAGTATTGTTCTCACTTAGCAACCAACTTATTTGAGGTCATTAAGCAGGAATGTCTATTTTCTTTCAAGTCCGTCCATATAAAATAAGTGTAACTAGATATGCAGAAAAGTTGAATGCTGAGCATGGTCTCATCTGAGGGATGCTCTCAGTTCCACAACACTAAGATACAGAACTTCTATCTCCCAGTTTGTCAAGTAGGGACTTTTTTTTAAAAAAAAAGTCTTACTGAGTACATTGAGGTCTGAAATGATACTATGGGGTATATATAGGCAGAATAGCTACTACACGGCTAGGGATTTAGCTCAATGATAGAGTGCTTGCCTAGCAAGCATGAGGTCCTAGGTTTGATCCTCAGCACTAAAAAATAAAAAAAATAAATAAATAAACAAATGAACAAACAAACAAAAAAGAGGGGCTGGGGAGACAGCTCAGCAGCCTAAGTGCCTGCCTAGCAAGTATAAGGGTCCAGGTTCGATCCCTGGTACTGCATGCCATGTCAGCCACTAAAACTAGGCATGGTAGTACATGCTTGTTATCCCAGTGCTGGGAGGGCTGAGACATAGCAAGACCCTGTACCAAACAAATAAAGAAAAGATTAAAAACAAAAAAACAACAACAAGGGCAGGTATACAGTTCAGCAGCATAGGCACCTGCCTGGCAAGCATTAAGGTCCAGAGTTTGAACCTCAGTACCACTAAAAAAGAAAAAAAGAAGGGGGGGGGGAGGAGAAAGAATTACTACTACTACTACTACTACAGCAAAGCAAATTAATATAGCTCTATCATCTCACACTGCTTTAGAGCTGTGACTGTTCAAAGTTAAGGAGAAAAGGATTCTTTAGTTCAGTTTGCGGAGGGTTCAGTCCATATCTGGTTCCAAGGCAGGGTGGCACATGGCACAGGAGCAAGAGTCCAAGAGGGCAGAAGACAGGAAAAGGAACAAGAGCAGAAAGGGTGCAGCAAACCTCCTTTCCTTCCTTATATGCAGCCATCTACCCACCCTGGGAGGGTGCACTGTGCCACCACACTGCACAGAACCAGGATGTTTACAAAGTGAGGATCCTGGCTCCCTGCTGAGTCCCTTAATTAAACTTCTAGGGGCTGGGGAGATGGCTCAGTGGAATAAGTGCTTTCCTGGCAAGCCCAAGGTCCTGAGTTCGATCCCTGGTACTACCAAAAAAATAAAAAAATAAAAATAAACATCTAACCTCAAATTGACATATCAACCATCACAATTACAACAGCTAAAATCTATTTTAAAAATTCCTAATAAAACTTTATTTATTTTTTATTTTTGATTTTTGGTGGAACTGGGGACTGAACTCAGGCCCTTGCGCTTGCCAGGGAAGCGCTTATTCCACTGAGCCATCTCCCCAGCCCCTACTTTATTATTCATAATCCTCAAGTTATAGCTTAGATCCCTAGACTTATTCAGCATACATATGTGCTACTCTGCAGGTTTTGACTTACATCTCCATTTTCCCATCATCACCACCACCTTCTCTACTCTCCTGAAGTTTGTGACGGATATTAACACTCCAATCAAATAAACCAGAATGTAAACTCATATCATCTATGGAAAAATAATGTAAGCAATTGGGTGTTCTACATATGAGTGCATCATTTTCAGGTAACAGAAAACAAATGAAATTTTCTTTCATTATTATTTCTCCCTAGTAACGATGGCCAACACTTACTGAGCAACTCTGTAGGCACTGTACCTGACTGAGCTCAGGCAGGGACGCTGCCAGTTGAATAAGCCCACTGACCATTTTAGAGAAACATAGGCTTCACTTCACCTAATCAAGAACAGTCCTCGAGGACCTGAGAGCAGGTCACAGAAGAGACACACATCCTCTAAAGTCCACTGAAACACACACTTTAAAGGAGACTTTTAGCCTGTAAGAGACACGGTCTCTGTTCGGCTCCAACAAAGAGGGCCACCTCAGGTTTACCAATAAACCTGCTTGGACTGCTGAGTTTGGTATCTTCTGCCCCACTCAGCTCCAATAATTTTCATACATCTTTTTGTTGTTGTTGTTTTGTTTAGTCTGAGACAGAGTTTCAACAAGTAGTCCAGGCTGGCCTTGAACTCTAGGTGATCTTCCGGCCTCAGCCTTCTGAGCGCTGGAATTCCAGGTGTGTGCTACCATGACTGCCTTCAGACATCATTTTGACTCTACACAATGATCAGAAAGTTTGGGGGCTGGTGAGATGGCTCAGTGGTCTAAAGCACCTACTTAGAACAAGCTAAGCTAAGCAAAGCACAGGGACCGCGGTTCAATCCCCCAGCACCACATGCCAGCCCCGCCCCCTGGTGGGCTGAGCTGGCCACACACACACACACAAGATAAATAAATATTAAAAAAAAAAAAATGATCAGAAAGTTTTATTCCTACTCTACAGCTACCGGTAAGGTCCCCAAGGTAAGGTCAGGTGCAGAGGACCACACAGAAAGTGAGTAGAAAGTTGGCTGTAGGATTGCACGCCTATAATCTCAGCACTTAGGAGGCTGAGGCAGGAGGAGCACTGCAAATCTGAGACCAGCCTGGGGTACAAAGTGAGCTCAACCCTGTCTCAAAAAGACAAAAACCAAAAAGGAAGTGAGTAGAAAGACTACACCTGCCACTCCTAGCACTCTGAAAGGCTGAAGCAAGAGAATTACAAGTTCAAGCCTAAGCTGGGCTACTCAGGGACTTAGTAAAACCCTTTCTCAAAAAATACAGACTGGGCTGGAGCTCAGTGCCACGGTTCCAGGTTCAATCTGCAGTAGCAAAACTCAGGCACACACAGACGGGAAAAACAGACCTCAAGCATTCCTGGCTTTCACTGCTAAAATTAGGGTTTTTTCAATCTGTCACTTGGCGAATTATTTTAAAATCTGTACTTATGGGTTGGAGAGACAGCTCAGTGGTCTATGCGCCTGCCTGGCAAGTGCAAGGACCCAAGTTCAATCCCCAGTATCCAATGCCATGCAGGTGCAAGCCCTGAAACCAGGCGTGGTGGCACATGCCTGTAATCCCAGTGCTGAGGCTGAACTGTGTAATGAGACCCTGTATCAAATAAAGAAATAACGTTTTTTTAAAAAATCTGTACTTAAATACAATACAGCCTAATTTAACTTTTCAACGTGAAGTATATAAAATAAAAATTTAACTTACATGTAAATTCAATATGGTCTCCCTTTTGAAAAACAGACGATTTTTTCATTCTCATTTTCTCGTAAAAACTACCCTTTTTTCCCATTTAAAGTCTTAAACCCTGGCAGAGTACCTCCAGCCTGGAAAGAAGAAAATACAGAAGTAGGCAACAGGACTGCAAAGTTACTCAATACTTTTTAAACGACGGTCACTAGCCTCCATCCTCGTTTTATTTAGCAACTACCATAAGCCAGGACTTTCACAGGCAGCGGATTACAACGAAAGTTTTCATTCTCGCATTTCCCATTACTTAAAAGGCACTAATTTAACACCTCAAAATAAAAGATACGACCAAAAACAGGGCACCTGAAACGAACAGCACGTCTCAAAAGAAGAACAGATGGCCAATAAGGAAAAAAAATGTTGATCATCGCTGGCTATTAGAGAAATGCAAAATAAAACAACACTGATACTATCTTACCCCAGAAAGAATGGCCACCATCAAGAAATCAAGTAACAAATGCTGGATGGGGCTCCAGGGGAAGGAGAGACATTCTATACTGCCGGTGGGAATGTAAACCAGTACAGTAGCGATTCCTGAAAAAACTAAATATAAAAATTCCATTCGACCCACCGATTTTCCTTCTAGCTATCTCCCCAAGAGTCAGGCGCCAAATTAACGCGACACTTTCATACCCGTGTTTATAGACGTACAATTCATAATAGCGAAGTCCCGCAAACAGCCCCCATGCTCAATAACTCAAGAATGCGTAAACACGGCATCTGCACACAGGGCAATACTACCCTGCGGTAGAGAACAAATCCTTTGTTAGTAAATGGATACACCTTGACATCACTAGGTTAAACGAAACTGGTCAGTACAACGAGAATCCCAAAGTATAAAGTACAAAATAAAAGACGCGTAATAGGAAGCTGGGAGCTCTTTTCCAAACGGGAAGAGGCACAGAGACGGTCGGAGCAGGGCAGAGGGTCCAGAGCTTGGAGAAACAGAACTTAGGATGCGGTCCTGTATTAAATGTGTTAACGTTCTAGAAAAGAACAGCAACAAAACTAAACTAAACTGACTTTCGCGCTGTACGAAAGGAATTAAGACTCACTGATTCCACAAAAGTTAAACTGACGAGCGCAAAGCGCTACCGCAGACGGGAAGCAGCCCGAGATCCTCGCGGCAGAGCCCGCTCGCGGGCGCTCGCTGGCACGGCCGCCGCGGCCCCCCCAGCTCCGCTGCCCCCCGA